AGCACAAGTAGTACTGTTGTATTGTTATTTTGCTGCACTTTATTAACGCATACTAAAGAACTGTCCGTTGAGAACTATAAATTACAGTAATATCATATAGATGTTACTGCCTTAAAACGCAGATAAAGTTTAAAGTATGCACTGAGTAATAATAATTACAAAGCAAAGAGCCGAAGAGCTTTATCCTTGTCAAGCCGTTTATTTTTTAACTATTTACCGAAGGTAAAGTTATGTCGCCTTAGGCCAAAAGAAATGGCACCACTAATTTCTCGGATTTCCAACTCACAAATGCCCGAAGGATATTAAATAATTTTGAGGATTTATATCATGTTAAAGACTCTTTATTCTTGAGTTTTCAAAATTATCCAAGCGTATGACAAACCTCCTGTAAAAAGACTGAAAAAGAAATAATTATTCAGACAAACGAGTAATAGTGAGCTTTTGAAAAGCTCAAAGAAAAGCTTGTTATTATTCCAGTCCTCATATATGCAGATTTTAACAAAGTTTTAAACCTGTGATACATACAACTATGCCCACAAAACGTTAAAATACGCTCGTCGTCACATGAAAGGAAAATTTATATAGTTTAAAGTTATATATGTAGTAAGAGGAAGTAACAAGAAGAGAAAACGTACCAGAAGGAACTATATGCAACCATGTCTCCTGAATTCCACATAACTATGAAGATTTCAGCAATCTTCATGTGCCACCAAGGGCTATTTCAGGTAATCCGGCATCACGATACATGTTCATCGCAAACAACCCTGTATGAGGTTACGCATATGATGCAAATAATCGAAGTTCGAAATTAAGGGTTAAATCCATTAGTCCAAAAGAGAAAATCAAGGAACACCAGAGTAAAGAAGGAGAAAGAGGAAATAAAGAAAAACGAAACCCTGCAACACAATAAATTTTGTTAGTGAATGAATAAGTGCTGTGGTGGTGCTTGTGAAATTTTCTTATGCTTTCCAGACAGTTGTTCACGAATCCTTACTTATCTCAGATTTTAGACCCCAGATTTGAATTATTTTTCCTTTATCTTCGCGGTCAACAAAATCCGCTTAGGTCAGCATTGTATGGATGGGTGGACGTTGATACAGGGTTGCAGAAAAGTGGTATACTTTCTAGTATTACGATTTCGTTATTTATTTCCGCAGTTATCAACTGTTCATATCATATGTTTGCTTACTATCCTAATATCTGCTTTAAGTCCAAGAAGATATTAAAGATATTAATAACAGCTTAATGACAATCTATTAGAGTTTGGTCGCTTAGATTTGGGATTACTGTTAATCAAACTAAATTCAAAGCGAATACAATTTAGTGGTCGACGGACGCTTGCTAGGTTTGATTATGGTAGCCTTTTCCCAGTTTTTTAATAATGGAATTTTATTTCCGTTCTCATACTCTGTCAAAAATCTTGGCATATGTATATTTGGATCAGTCGTTTAGTTGGGAAACATAGGTTTCTGAATTCTCCCGGCAAGTTATTGCCTTAAAAATTTTGTGCCCTTTAAAACTTTTACCTGTCCAGCAATTAATGTCTCCCATTATTGACGATGCGGATGTGTTACACAGACCTATTTCAATATCCTAAATAGGAACGGCTTCATAATAACTACAATAAATTCATTTTCTGTTTGCCGAAATATGAATCCGTATTATCTAATATCATAATACGGTACAGTATTATCTAATTTAAGACTCCTCTGGAACGTCCTTTCCGATAAACTAGATGACGAAAATATGTATTAATGAAAATATATACATTTAAAAAAATCGTTTATCTAAACAATTACAAAAATTAAGAAATACCAAATACATTATGCGTATAATATGTTCCATTTGATAATTTTTAAATGACATGAAAATACGCATTGTGATAATAATATTTTTGGCAACCTTGACTTTTCAGATTTTGATAAATTCTGCTAAACCTGACACTGGCAGTTGTTGAAAGCAAACATTAAGTTAATTGATACATGCAATAAATGCCGAACCATTGTTAAAAGGACGATATATTTTTGTTAAAGTAAACAATTACTTGGAGCCTAAGTGAATGATCAGAATAAAGATGACATTTAATATTTTTTTTATAATTCTCTTCCATATTTGTAAATTTTGTAAATATGTGCATATTTCATTTAAATTCTTATAAGCTTTTTATGCTATAAAAGCATTTAATAGTCTCATTATTGGTAAAGTAAAAAGAAAAAATGGACATCTTTGCAATGAATCAATTTAATTGTTACTGTTACTGTGTTTGATAATTTTAGGTAATTTATTCCAAGGGTTTTGTAAATTAATAAGAATTTTATTGTACATTACTATTAAAATAATGAGAAATAATATTCGAGTCCGTGATTCCAGTAGTATTCACTATTGCTGGCTAAATAAAATTGAAGTACACTATTTGTTAAATCCTATTTATAATATAACTTGCTTCTGGTACTATTACGATGTAATAAAATAAAGGTTAAAACATTGTTTAGGTATAACAACAAGGTGACCAATCTTTTTGGTCCAAAAGATCGGGCAGGACCTTTCTCCAACAGTTACAGTGGCGGGTGCGCTGTTGGAATTTCTCCACATGGATGACTCTGGTCTCCTTTTCCGAAGCTGTTATGCTCCAGAAGGAAACCGCTGAGCGGGAACGGGAGAGGGCCGACACCGCCCGGAGACGAAGACACCGTGTCGGTAGAAATGGACAAGGCGCCCCGTCAGCCCTGTAGGCTCGGGCTCGTAGAATAGAGCTAAGGTATCCTCTGCCTGTCGTAAAAGGTGACTAAAAGAGACACGGATTGGCAGCAGCACGAAGTGGTCTTGTGCTGCTGCAAGACGGCGAGGGAATCGGGGTAGGTTTACCTTTCTCCGAGGCGTGCTCACGCGCAGTAATGAGGGACAGCGGTGCGTTTCGTAGGAGATCCCGGAGTCCCTCCAAAGGTACAGAAGGCGTTTTAGTGGGTACAAACCCACTGTTTTTACCCACTTTTGAAGATGTCCCCTCCGATACCAAAAAAAAGGTATAACAACAAGATACAATCGTTACTTGCAATGATATTATATACAAATACATTATATAAAACCATCATTGGTATATTGTGTCATATTTCAGCCATTGAAAAGGAATTCGTTAAAATGCATTATTTTACTTAATTACATTAATTACTTAATCTCAAACCGTCATCAGTTGCGCCACTAGAACTTGTTAATCAATATTTCACTTCTGTAGGCGGAAAACTAGCTTCGGATATCCTAACAAGAACCAAAACGAGCGAATTCCAACTACAGAAAGAAGTAGCTGTATCAGTAAACCCAGAATCTATGTGCCTGAGCTCAACAGATTATAAAGAAATAGACAAAATTATCCTTAACTTAAAAAGCAATAGCGCCCCCGGAATAGACAGAATGTCAACAATAGTTCTTAAAAACTCACCAAGTACTATGTAGTTTAATTTCCCATTTGTGCAATCTAAGCTTTTCGTGCGGTAGTTTTACCAATATATATAAAAAAGCTGTAGTTGTCCCTGTACACAAGGGTGGCGATTCAGTATCAAACTACAGACCTATATTGTTACTAAACGCAATTAGTAAAATTATTGAAAGAGCTTTTAACTCCAGATTCACCAACTTCTTAGAAAATAATAATCTTTTAGCAACTTGTCGATACGGTTTTCGAGCAGGCAAAAATACTGAAGACGCTGTATCTAGACTCACGGAATTAGTCACGAAGATCTTAGATATAAGTAAAAGATGTGTGGCTACTTTCTTAGATCTTCAAAACACCTTCGACACCGTGTCCATACCACTCCTTTTGTTGAAGCTTGAGAATTGCGGTATACGTGGCATCCCACTAGAGTGGCTACGTGATTATTTGACAGCCAGAAGCCAAGTGGTTAAAGTGGACCGCATTTATAGTGCTAGCTCTAATGTCAATTATGGCATACCTCAAGGTAGCACTATTGGTTCTACGCTTTTTTTGACCTATGTAAATGATCTTTGCAGTTTAAAAATTGTCAATGGACATGTTATTGCATTTGCAGATGATACTGCACTAATTTTTTATGCCATATGGCCTATGGTTGAGAGATCCGCTGAAAATGCTCTCAGGAACGTTATTAAATGGCTAAATAAAAATTTGTTTACAATAATTGTACCAAAAACAAAATACGTTTATTTTAGAACATCTAGTGCCACGAATCCGCCAAATTATTTTACGATAAAGGCCCGTTCCTCCACTTGTGAAGTGGATGTCCAATGTAATTGTGATTCTTTAGTGCAAACAGAAAATCATAAATACCTGGGTATCATAATTGACAAAAACCTTAACTGGCATCCACAAATTTCGGCATTAAGCAAAAGAGTTAGGAAACTTCTTCCTATTTTTAGAAACCTCCGAGATGTCAAACCAAATTGATAAAAAACATATACTATGCCCTTTGCCAATCGCAGTAATTAAAGTGATGTGGTACACAGGCCCAGAAAATACTCCACTAAAAAGCTCTACGTGGAAACAGAACTTATCTCTGTTCGCCAATTACATATATTTAACTGTGTTCTTCGTCAATTTTATTACATGGGTCCATTCTTATATTGATACCTCAACGATTTAAACCAAATGGTTGAGGTAAATAGAAGGCGCCTAAAGATAGCGCGCAAAGATAGTTTGAAGAAACTCGAACAAGCTGATATGGGAAATATCTTAAAAATTTAGTATCATTATAGACACACACACACACACGCAGAGACACACACGCGCGCGGTTAATATATCTAGTATGTATGTATTTAAAAAAGTAAAGTATGTTTAAGTATGTTTATCAGTTTTCTAGTACCCATAGTACAAGCGTTGCTTAATTTGGGACTAGAGAACGCTATGTATGTGTCCGCATATATTTTTTTATACGTACGTACACAAAATTAAATCCTCTTTTGGTAAGTTAGTTTTATAGATAACCAATTTTTAAATAATAAATGCTAAATAGTGCCACGTCTCTATTAATGACTGTAATATGTATTTGTCATTTTGTTCTCAAAAAAGTCCAATTTCTGATTTAAATTGTCGCATGCGTTGAAGAACATGAGACGTTTTACTTCGTATTTAGAAAATGGACGATGTTTCTTATGGCGTAAGCCCATAGCGTGCAATGTGGCGTGTGCTACTTCAGCAGGAAGTGTACACAGCGGCGTAATAAGCACCAACTGTAAAATGTTCATAAATCGCAGAGACCCAAGCCAAATGGCTTACGATTAAACATGAATTAAACTTAAAATACTCATTTTCTACAATATAAGGCTTACCCTTCGACGCTGAGACTTGGAAAAAAAAGGTAGACAGCAATTTTCTAAAACGCCAGAATAACTGTAGTAGATATAAGTAAAATTATATAATGTCACCAATACTCTGGGGTCCTGCTCCTTAAAAGTTAAACAAGAACGTTCCTCTATATACTTGTGTCCTTTTTGAACATGACTAAGCAAACGTTTGGGACCTAAAAGACAAGATAGATGGCTCTTTTTATTTCTTTTTAAGAAAAAATAATTTAGCTGTAATAAAATTATATGTTAATTAATATACTAGATTTTTTTAGCACTTTTCTCATAATGTTAACTAATTTAATATTACATAAAATTTTATTTTAAAAATACAATGAAACAGATACATTATTAAAAAAGTTTGTCATAAACATTATTATAAAAGTATGAAAATAAAATAAATCATAGTACATTAACCTACGTACCTAAGGGTGACGATAAGAATGAACTTATGATACAAAATATTTTAAGATTTTTCATGACTTTAATCCCTTGCTAAAACTGCGTCTCCTATATAACATGTAGTGTTAATTGTGGATCATTGATTTTATTACGTTGTTGAACATAATTTTTTAAAGAATCAAAACACAGTCATTTGTTCCTGCGAAGAGTTAAATGTTGGAGGAGGAAAATGTTACCCAAAAATCCGTGACCTTAGACCGCGAATTGATTTGATGAATATAAAACTGTAATGAATTTGACGTTTTTATCTTAAAATGTGTCTGTATAGCATACTTGGCGAGAAAAAGTTGAAGGCGTATGGAATAACGCTATTGTTCCATTGATTCGGCCAGTTTTCTACCATTATATCGCGTGATGCTAAAATAAAAACAGTTTTCTATAACGTTTTGAATAATAATAATTTATATTAAAATGTCATAAATTACATACAATTTCTGATCAACCTGTCGATGTTCAAGGCATCGCAAAGATTTATTGTAAGCAAGCTTATAAACAACAAATCCACGAATTCTTTAAAAAAAGTCTTTTTCATGATAAAAACGGAAAGTGAAACTAGAATTTTATATTGCTCGTTATATAATAAAAGGAACAATAAAATTTGCCATTGGAGAACGTAGTAAATTTTTTATTTGATTCTTCATATGACTTCCGATAAAAATCATAATCCTTATAACAATAAAATCATAACTTTTCAAACACAAAAGTAAAGTAACATATATCACACTGCTGGGCAAAGGCCTCCTCTGTACATAGGATATTAGGGCATATTCCACCATGCGACCCCACTGCGGATTGGAGGCTTCACAAATATCTTCGAAATATTTTTTTTGTTATTATTTAGAAAATACGCAGGTTTCCTCACGATATTTTCCTCCACCACTTAGCACTGATAACTCAGCACTTAAAATCAAAAATGGGGATCGATCTCTGGTCGCTCGAGAACATTTTAGTGATAAAGCTATATGATTACAAAACGTCATGAAGCCAAGGTCAAGTAATCTCGGTTTGAAGAATTTATTTCCCAAAAGAACATTACATAGTTCAGTTAGATGAGAAAATTAACTAAATTATTTACAATAAAATAAAGAGAATCTGATTTAACTAAATACTATGTATTACTGATTTAACTAAATACTATGCATTTAGTTAAATCCTATCCTTATTGCACATCAGGTGGGGTGGGCGCAACATTTCCTTTTCTCCCAATTACCTCTATCAGCTGTCATCTCAATACTCACCCCTTTCACAGACATATCATTCTCCACTTTTTAACCGACTTTAAAAAAAGGAAGAGTTTCGATCGTATATATTTTTATTTTTTTTGTGTGTTCTTGGATAGCTTGGTCGTTAATGAACCGATTTTGACGATTCTTTTTTTTGTCGGAAAGGAGATATCCCAAGGGTGGTACCATGATAAGGAAATCCGGATCTGATGATTGCATCCCAGAGAAATCGAGTGCCATCATTGAATGTTATAGGTATTAACAATGTTTTGAATTTTCTGATTGATGTCGGTTTTTTTTGTTAAAATTATACTTGTTTGTTCAATAAAAAGTACACACATATATATATATATACACAGTATACATGTAGCTCATTGAAGCGTTCGGTGACGATAGCGCGAGTTACATTACTTTGTTGCTCAACGCGCCTAAAGAAGTATGTGAAAAGTTGTCAAACGAGCACCTGATGTTAAGTGAATACCGCCGCCCATGTACATCTACCACACCCGAAGGTTACAGATGCGTTGACCACCTTTTGAAAATTGGGCTCCGAAAAAAAAATATCTTCAAAAAAACATATATTAAAAATCAATTAGATAACAAAATAGAGGCCGTTCTCAAATTTCTAAATAAAAAAAGTGTGCTGTAACTCAGTCTATATAATTTTTGCTTACGTTATAAGAAGAGCGAAAACGGTTTTCATGAGATTTTATAGGGAGCCTATCATTAGCATATTTATAAGGATTACTCCAACGGTTCTGAAATATGAAGAACGGATAGGGAACGTGGCTTATTAAATTATTGCGTTGATGGCTTTAAATATTATAATTCTTATTTATATTAAACAATTTATTTCTCAATCTTTGCTTTAATATAATTAGTTAAAATAATAATTAGATGCTGCATTACATTGCCCTGTACCACAATATTTCATCATTTACGCAGCAGCTGTAACATGAGTGGGCAAGCTCGTCCGAGCAAATACCATGAACTCACAGAACTAGCGTGATAAATATTAAACTTACGTGTTTCGTCAGCTAAGTGTTTGTCAGTTAACTGGGGTCTACTTTTTTAATGCTGGAAATGAATCTGCAGTCCGTAACCCGGTGATACGCTTGTTCGTTTACACACTTTTAACATAAAAAAATACATAGTTCAAGATACGGTGAAGAACCAATTTAGAGGTATATAAAAGAATGTATTTATTAGGTTACCACTTAAATCTCAGGTGTAAACTAACTAGTCCTTTATGTTATTTAAACAAATATTTCTGTCATATAGTTGTAACATATTTTATCAGTTTGCATTTATTTCAGAAATTCTTAATACATCTCACAAATTGTAGCAATTTGTTTTCACAAATTCCAGTTGTTGTTTTATATATATTAACATGTTACGTATACACACCATCTTAATAAGTTGTACAGCAAATATAATTAATTACCTTATTTGAGTTCATAACTTTTTATTGTCAAATATAAACATGCCACAGGCTATAAAAATTACGATAAGCACACTATAAATAATTTCATAAAAAACAAACATAAAGAAATGTAGGTTTGATATGGATCAATGAAGTGTGAGCGAGGCAAACAGGTACCTCATGTCGAATAAAATCGCATAAATAGTTGACCGTTGGCACTTGTCTATACAATTACAGTTTTTTATGGTTTTATTTTTGAACGTATAAAAATTTATTTACTTTTAAAAAAAATTGTACTCGTCTCTGCATTTAATAATTATGAAACCTTAAATATATTGATAAAACTGTCGAGACAGTTAAAACTATAAAAATACCTGATAAACTTATAAATAATCTTTCAACATGTTTGCCTAGATTATAAAAAGACGATGCAAACACGTTTCAGATTAATTTTTGTCATTAGCTCAGCACTTTTTTTACATAAGTTAACGTTTAATTACTTAAAACGCCAGCGCCGAATTTGCCTTTGAGTTGGACTGGAATCGTGCCAAACATGCTCAAAAATGATTTTAATTTGTGAAGTTTAAATTTTATAGGATTTTGTTTACGCGGACATAATTAACCGGTAACGTAGTGAGTAAAAATTAAAAATCATAGACAGCATGGGTTTACTTTTTAACCGACTTCAAAAGGAGGTTAAAGGTATATTTCACAAGAACAATAAAATCAAACAGCACTCCGGAAAATTTTGAATATAAGGAAAATACAAAATCTTCAGTATAGCAAATGAAACTAACATCGGCGAGGAGAACAATCAAAGCACGGTTCCAAAGTAATGGTCCCAACACGGGCTCTTATGGAACCCCTCACTTCCCTATGAGGGACTGTTGCTGATCCACATAACTACATGCAATTATCGTGCAATTACGTCTTAATGATGAGGTGGAGGTAGGAATATGGAGGTATGGCGGTAGGAATAGGCACCTATTGTAAGTCAGAGCCTCCATGATTATACCCCTAGGTAGTGTATTAAAAGTATTGATAATGTCAAGGCTGACCGCCAATCCCAAACAACCATAAATTACTGTCCTCTGAAACTGCTCTCGGACTTAAAGAATCACGTCCGCTGTCAACCATACCTGCCGAAAACCAAACTGGCTATCCCACAACTTGCGGCCCACCTAGTTCGTTGAGACGGTCCTCAATACTTCTTTCAAATAGTTTTCTCGAATCATCCTTGTATAGATACATCCTATTCAATATTAACGTGGGTGGCTCGAAACTTTCCCGTATAAGAGGCATAATAATAAAAGTGTATTAATCACGCTTCCCACGGAAGAAGGAGCTATGGTCTCGGTAAAAAGAGGGACCCATCACCGAAATTTACCCAGCCCAATCTGGTACGGGTATCCCCACGGGTCTTTATTCAAACCTTCGAGAAGGTGCCTCCAGGACCAATACTAAGTATCCTCGATTGCATGTTGGAGTGTTTTAGTAGCGCCCCTTTAAGACTCGCCTGCTCTTTCCTCTCCTAGATCCGGCATGACTTTGCCGGTACATAGCTATAACCAGGCTTCAACTTCAAGCCTCTGCCTTACCCAACCTTAGCTCACACCACGTTTACTTATGTCTAAGTTTCCATAATGTGTACGACGATAATGGGGGAGACGTTTAGTCCATTTGGGCAGTACGCTCCTCTTATAACTGGATAATATTACATACACCCAAGGCTAAGCTGCTGCATGTAGGCAAATAGGATTAGCAATTGGCAACCCCTCAATCATGCATCAGATTGCGCTGTTCCTGCTGATTTATATTAGTTTTTTTTTTAATAGAGGCTAATAGACATAACACAATCACTTTGACCAGGTTTATGATTTCCACGCGCTGGGTCGACGGTTTTACCAGATAGAAGCCGCGTCACCCCCAGTGACTAAGTTAGTGAACATCTAGCCCGCCCTTAATTCTTCAGCATGCCTTCTGCAACGGTCTGTGATATTAATCCGTACATGTAAGGGGGTCCAAAAGCCACTGGCCACTGGTAACCAAGAAACACTACGAACCACGAACTTAAAATCAAGGAACCTCTTTACATGCCTCTCAATTTGGTTTAAAATAATAAGATGGCATTGATAATCGCCTGTGTACAATGTTACGGCAGGACTAAAAGCTGTTGGGCTCGAGACGTGTGCTGTGCCGATTGCACCAGCACAGCACGATGCAGTAGAGGAGGCCTTAACAGGGCCATAGTCGCGCCGGGGTCGCGGAAGATTGCGTCCACGTGTTCCCGTGTCCCCGGCCGATGCGACAGTGACAGGTGCAACGTGGGTTTTTTAGTGGGTACCCGTTTCTCACCGGGACTCCCACATACCTCTACCACTCCCCCGATCCAGTCGCAGGGGATCCATAAAGGATTTTTCCCACAAAAAAAAAAAAAACCAAAAGGACTAAAAGCTGTTCCGTTGTAACCACCGCATTCTAGCTAAGATTATTATATTATAGTACTATTCTATATTACTATATGATTTACTTACCACGGTAGAATATAAAGAAAAAAGATTGTCTTAAAGTATTACCATTGTATAAAACATTCAATCTTGGTAAAGTCAACTTTAGACCGACTTGCGATCAGAAACCGCTTGAAATATGCCAAAGAAAAATAAAGCCTCCCTAGGCAAAGTCCGGAGGCGTTCCAACAACGAACAAAGCATTGAACGTAAGCAAACTAGTTTTCTATGAGTCCTTTCTGCAAGTAAATTATGTAAATTATAATGATAGTAAGTACCACAGCGTGTACAGCGTGTCGTTACCACCGCGACAGTAAATGAACACACGTCTAACGCTACTTGCCAATATTCATAAAAAAATATTAACGGTAAAAATCCA